AAAAAAAAAAAAAAGACATTGAGTATAAAATATAAATTCCCACAACCAGATGTAAACGTGTTAATATATTGCTAAAATACAAAAAGCATAGTACTTGCACATGCTTTTTCAATACAGCAGCATTCTTTACCAGGATCCGGACATGCGCCTGTGAAGTCGGCCTTCGGTATTAAATTGGCAGCTACTGCCCTCTAGTAGTGAGCTTTGGTTTAAAAATCAACTGTTTTAATTTCATGTTGCTGCAAAGGACATGTGCTTTATAAAAACAAAGCATGTTTAAAGCATGATGCGCTTAAATTATGAGCATTTAAATAAGGTTTTCACACGTACTACACGGCACTCACTTATATGAATACCAAGCTAAATCTAATCTACCCGTGTAAAAAACACAAATATTAAATATAAATAATGAATTAACTAAGTTCGCAAGTTCTATCGTAATGAAAAGGATGCGTATGGATGTCTCTTTTGAACGTTAGTGTAACGCATTTGTGTCTGGCATTCTGCGCGGTCATCCCGCCTCGCTATCAGGACCCCAGCCAGGCAAGATGGCGGAGCCCAACCAAGTCGCCGGGGAGTTTGAAAACTGGCTGAACGAGCGGTTGGACTCCCTCGAAGTAGACAGAGAAGTTTATGGAGCGTATATACTCGGAGTGCTTCAGGAAGAGGAAAGTGGTGAAGAGCAAAAGGATGCTCTTCAGGGCATTCTCTCCGCTTTTCTGGTCAGTGCAGGCGCATGTTCATGCTCGACGCTCGCACGCTCAACTCAGCTGTCAAGACTTTTCACACGAGTGGCTCTGCTGTTACGAACACTGTACACTTCAACCATTGATGGGACAAACTCATTATAAACCAGAAAGACGTTTATATATTATAAACTGAATTCCTTAAGTGGCCCTTCATTTGAGCAGTTTAAGTGTGAAACTTGATGGCCTGTTGCCATTGACTGGTATATTATTACTATTATTTACTCAAAAATAATCGAACACGAGCAACTTATTTTCAGATATGTCATTTATGTTGTAAGTGTAAACTATATTTGAATGTAGGTTTTCGTAAGGTGTGTGCTGAGAGATCTGTTAATGGTGTGAAGTCACTGCAGCCATCCAAATACTGTACAGTCGTTTGCATGAACGATGAAGGCTTGTGTTAGTAAAGAGAGCTCGCTTTATTCTCGTAGGAAGAAGACACGCTTGAGGAGGTTTGCCAGCAGATCTTAAAACAGTGGACTGAGTGCGGCAGCAGATCTGCAGTCGAGGGTACTCAGGCAGATGGTAAGTGCGTGGAGAGCTGAAATTAGAAAAGGTCAGGCACACTCACAGTGACCCCATGTAGCAGTGCAAGTGATCCGAGTTTACATATTCTAAAAACGTTTGCACTACTGTTCAAAAGTTTGTGGTAAGATTTTTGTTTTTAAGAAATTAATACTTTTAGTCAGCGAGGAAGCATTAAACTGCTCAAGCGTAACCGTAATGAGTCTGACATTCATAATGTTAAACAAAAATGTTTCAAATGAACTTTTGAACTACTAAAAAATAAAAGGCATCAGTTTCTAAAATACTCAGCAGCACAACTGTTTTCAACATTGATAATAAGAAGAAGAAATGTTTCTTGAGCAGCAAATCAGCATATTAGAATGATTTCTGAAGGACACTGAAGACTGGAGTAATGATGCTGAAAATCCAGCTTTGTATCGCTGGAATAAATTGCATATTCAAATATATTCAAATAAAAAAGTGAATTACAGTTAATATTGTAATAATATGTCACCATTTTTACTGTATTTTGATTAAATGCAGCCTTGGTGAGCACGAGAGGCTTTTCAAAAACAATTTTACTGACTCCAAACTGTTGAACAGTGCTGTACAAATTCTTATTATTTTTATTTTCTCACTTTTTTGTGTGTAACATAACTTTTGTATAACCCATTCTTTTCATAATCTCCTCTGTATTCTTTCATAGTACAACATAGTGATGTAAAAAAAAATATTGTAATAATATGTCACCATTTTTACTGTATTTTGATTAAATAAATGCAGCCTTGGTGAGCACGAGAGGCTTTTCAAAAACAATTTTACTGACTCCAAACTGTTGAACAGTGCTGTACAAATTCTTATTTTTATTTTCTCACTTTTTTGTGTGTAACATAACTTTTGTATAACCCATTCTTTTCATAATCTCCTCTGTATTATTTCATAGTACAACATAGTGATGTAAAAAATATATATTTTATATTTTTTCCCACCAACTGTTTTTGGGAAATTGTCTTTGGTTATTCTATTTTCAGACGAGGTTCAGGCGATTGCCAGTTTGATAGAGAAGCAGGCACAGATTGTGGTCAAACAGAAGGAGGTGTCGGAGGAGGCCAAGAAGAGGAAAGAGGTTCTACTGGCACAGTATGCTCATGTCACAGATGAGGAGGAATATCCTTTTAACACATATATGCTGAAATGTTGTATTTCTATGATGCTTTGTTGAGAACAAAGCGTCACTAAATCTCTCTCAAGGTCAGGGTTCAGATGATCCAGTGTGAAGCAGTTTCTTTAACATTTGTACTGAAGATGATGAGGAAGAGCAAGCTGCAGTGGGGATACACAGTGAAAAATGTATCTTTTTTTACACCATCACTTTTACTATGTAATAAACACAGTCAGTTGTAGAAGCAGCTGTAGTATGATCTGCATTGATTAGACTAAATATCTGTATCTACATGAACTGTTCCCTTCACTGCCAGTCCCAGCCATGTTCAAAAACACCAATGTCGAGGAAGTTTTGAACCGCCGCAAACAGCAGCGTGACCAGGCCAGAGAGGACGCGCAGAAGAAGAAAGAACAAGACAAGATGCAACGCGAGAAAGACAAACTAGCCAAGCAGGAGCGCAAGGACAAAGAAAAGAAACGCACGCAGAAGGGAGAACGCAAGAGATAGAAAGAAAACACAGCACGAAAACTTTCGTAGACAATATAATACCAAGGTCATTTACCTAGAAGAGAAAAATGCAATGAGACCTCAGCAAACAATGTCCCAACTAACAATGTATGCATCCATATCACGTTTTGGGTCCGGTATTGCTTATTGAATGATAATGTTGGGCCTATTTAGCTGTTTTCTTGGCTTGTGCAAAACAAATCAAAAACCAGCAAACTGAGTGAGAATTGTGTCACGACCCATTCATTTATTACAGGT